CCCTGCAAGGCTCAGTCTTCTACTTGCTGAGGTAAGAATAGTCAACTGCTGGTCCAGGGAGGAGCTTGTTTTCCTTCTACCACAGTTAGGATTGGCCACAATTGACTTCATCAACCTCTTTGCTCCAAAACACAACTGCACAAAACTGACTGTATAGCCAATGTGGTTACGATTTCCATATACCAGGGAAGAAAAACACAAATGTTTAGTATCTTTTGAGAAAATTTACAGGCAAAAGACCTTATAGATCTCAGATAACTCAATTTAACAAAGGCAACACACTCCTGCAGATGGAAGGCATTAATTTTTTAAATAATATCCTTGGTTAAACATACAGGAGCTGAAATAGAAGTGAAAAAACCAGAGAGGGCTAGTCATCAGGAAAATTGCACCAATCACTTTATTTGAGTAAATTGACTATTTTTCTGCAAAGTAGCTCAGAGACAAGACCACCCCTGGGCAAGTACAGTTCACACAGCTTGTGCTTATCCAACTAATAACAGCAAATCACTCACTGATAAACACATAGTCATGTGTATGCTTCCGTTGCTTCTAGAGCAGGGAATTTTTTGAAATACTGTAATTTGTGTTGGGAAGTACACTGTTCCAACACTATACTCAACTCCATCATATTGGTGCTTTGTAAAACATGAAATTATCTTATTAAGATTATTTGGGTCAAAAATTTTTTAAAAAGATTACCTGGGTCACCTGACAACTTAGGAAAATATAAGTTACACAGAGACACAATATGAGAAATTGTTTGCTCACAGGTATAGTCACTGGAGGTTATAACAGTCATGTGGAGGGAGATTCCATATTCTCATTTCCTCTACTTTACCTCTTCAGTCTTTGTAACCTACAAGCAATGAGTAAGTGACTAAGGAATTCTAGCCCCTCTACCAAAGTGTCTTCCAAAGCCAAAACCATAACCTGAACACAGCACTAAGAGAAAGCAAGCCCTGTACCGCTTCTCCCACAGAAGCATGACCACTGGTAATAGCCAAGGAAGAGCAAGGCAGTCTTCTATCAGGACATAACATCTTCTTGGGGATTCAATTCAGAAAGTGTCCGAAATACTCGCTTGGCACAAAGTATTTGAAACACAAGGCTTTTGGGAGGAAGCTCAATGGTTAAGTATTAGTGTGTATGAGGCCCTGGGTTCAATTCCCAGCTCAAAACCCACAAGCAAATGAAGCAAAACCCACAAGCAAATTACAAACATATGTAATCTGTTTCTGTATGTATATTTCAAAGATAGAATACAACTTCTCTCCCATCAAGAAACAGTATCAATCTGACCTCATTATATTGTAGGTGAGTAGTGACTCAAATACCTGGCTATTATCATACTTGAACTATGAGGGAGGGTGTGTGTGTGTGTGTGTGTGTGTGTGTGTGTGTGTGTACCTGCAAACCTGCATGCACATGTGTGAGTAGACAAGTGTATGCTCACCTATGCATGTGTACACCAGAGATTAATGTAAGACTTCCTCCTCTATTGCTCTCTATCTTAGTTTTTAGAGGTGGGGTCTCATGTGACCTGCTACATTCCTCAGCCCTAAGTTGCATTTTTAATTGTCAACAGACAAATAATTCTTTCAATTATTTACTCCACTTATTTTAATGGCTGCCTTTAATATTTCATCTTTTTCCTATTGGATGTAGTCAATGAGAGGAGAGGGTAGCCAGATTTGGAGGATGGAAAGGCTCGTTAGCATGAAATATCAGTTAAAATTAAGGCATTGTAGCCCTGAGAGCATTGCAACTGCAAATACTGCATTTGTCGTGTGCAAACCCATTGTGTGCACGCACATGTGCATGTATATGTTTGTACGTGTGTGCTTGTGCATATGGCATGTGCTTGTATGCTCGTGTGTATGTGCATGTGGAGACCACAGGTCAAGGTCAGGTATTGTTCCTCAGAAACTGTACAGCTTCTTTTTTTGAGACAGGGCCTCTCATTGGCCTGGCGCTCACCAAGTATGCTAAACTGGCTGGCCAGTGAGCCCTAGGGCCGGGCTCTTTGTGGCCCCAGCTCTGGGATCATGCACGAAAGTCACTACACCTGGTTTCCAAGTGGATGTTGATTGAATGCTCACCTTACACTCTGATTCATCTCCCCAGCACCTCACTGTGTATCTTTTTTGTTGTTGTTTTGCTTTGCTTTTTTGTTTGTTTGTTTTTTTCAAGACAGGGTTTCTCAATAGCTTTGGAGCTAGTCCTAGAACTCTCTCTGTAGACCAGGCTGGCTTTGAACTCACAGAGACCCACCTGCCTCTGCTTCCAGAGTGCTGGGATTAAAGATGTGTGCCACCATGGCTCACTGTGGATCTTAAAGCCATCAAAGCCGAAGGGGAAGCTTTAGTCAGTAAACTGTTGTTTTCTACAAGTTTCCAGTTTTGACAACAAAACAAATCTCCAAGCCTTTGAAGGGAATCTGTGCTTCATCTGCAATGCTACTATTTTTTCCAGCCTTTTAAGTGATTAATGTATCAGGACTGGGTTTGTTAACTATCAGCATTAGTGAAGGAACGAGCCTTCAGCCTGACATCTACAAGAAATGACATTCTCTGTCCATAAGCCCCTGGTAGGAGAGAACATAGGTTATAACGTGTGTGTTTGACTCTTAACAAGGCAGGACATCAGCAAGCAAGTTACAAAAGGGTTGGGTCAAATCCAAAAACTAGGAAACTAGATTCAGCAAATGGACAGATTTCCAGGTTAGCTTCTCCGCCCATGTTCCCACCAATCCTTAGCCCAGAAGACTGGGAACGAGAGTCTAACCCGCTCTATAGATTTCCTGCACATTAATTCACAGAGCGAGTTACACTGATAGCATATTTCCTAGGTGTTAACTGAGCAGCTCTGAGGAATTTCAAGGGACCTTCTTGTGCACAGATAATTGGTACAAAGGTCCCTAGGATGAAGTTGCTTCCCTCCCTAGCCCTTCCAGCAAGGAAGACACTGAGACCCTAACTAAGCCAGGCAGCAAGTGACCCCATAGAGGCCTAAGGCAGTGGCAATAATCTTCCTAGTCCCACCCCTGAGGGCACTGCCCAGTATCTGTATTAAGATGAAAGAGGAGACACTCAGAGGGAAAGTAGGAGAGGGGCTGCTTCCTACACCAGTTTCCCAGAACTGCTCTAACTTTTCCAACACAGCAATAAGAAAGAAAAACCAAAGGGAAGAAATTAAACCTTGACTATTTCAGTAAGTCACAAGGTGGAACTCTGGAAAGAAACTAATCAGTTATAGTAAGCCATAAATGCAATCACTACAGAAAGCCAAGTCAGGAACACCTAAAGGAGGAAGGGTCATGAAAGGTCAGCAAAGGTCAGGATAGTATCTGGTGTTGTCTCCGCTCCTGAAAAGCTATGACAGTCCATTGAGTTTTCACTTTTATTCTGTCAACTGTCCTGATTGCTCCCTATTAATGAAGTAACCCTGCCATTTCTCAAAGGAGGGTACTAAAGTACCAAACATAAAGTAATAAAATAAGTGTAAAAATGTTTTAAAAATCAACTCCAGGAATTAAAACACAATGTTCACTTTTGTAAATGGCTTGTGAATAAGGAAAAGACACAATCTATTAGACTACAATTTTTTAAAAATTGCTCATGGCCACTAGATAATAACTATATTACCAGAGTCAAAACAATTAAAACAGAAGAAATAAAAACCTTTTCTACATGCAGTTTGACAGCAGCCTCTGCTATTTCCATACAAATGCCCAGGGTTTTCAGTCTTGCTTGAATCTGGTGGAGACTGATCAATTGAGTCTCATCTTCTACTCAAACTCTAATTAAAATGAACAGTAAGCTATTTGTATGTCTGCAATAATTTCCTTTTCATGGTACACCAGACTTCAGCTTTATTCTGCAAAATCATTTCCAATTAGCTATTTAATCTCTACATGTTTGCTTAAAATCCACCTGCACCACCCTGTAGCCTGATCCCGGCTGGAGGCTGGGCAGCAGCTGCTGGAGGAGTCAAGGGCTATTACTAAGTTCAATGGGAGCCACATGCCCACAGGTCAGACACCGTGATTTGTGGCTTATGACCCAACTCAGCCTATTGGATTTGGCTAATTTTGTTTTTTAAATGGGGATTCCTGGTGCTCATGACTGAGGCATAAAAAGTGAATGTTTCACAGGCAAAACACCTTAGGACTGCTGTCATTTCTCTAGATGCCCCAAGCAGGAGATGGTGAGGGACATGGAGAACCCAAACAAGCAGAGCTCCAGCAAATACTGCTCTCCAAATTTCAGCTTCCTCAGCTGGTTATGAAAGAACAAAAACAAGGAAAGAATCCAGATTCATCAACTGGGAAAGAAAGAAATGCTCTACAAGTTACCATAGCCACATACAGCACACAGCAAGCCAACAAAACGGCACCAGGACACACTGAGTCCGTGATACTGAGAGATGATGCCTCAAGGGCTAACAGTGTACTTCCTTACACAGCCCAGGGGACTTGTCCTGAATCAGAGGGAAGTGACCCACCAGGAACTTCCTCTCCACAGCCAGGAAGCAGTGCCACTCACTGTCATTAGATGATGTGGGCATGTGGCAGAGAATCCTAGCATACATCCCTGATGTACTAAGGTTTTTTTGTTTATTTGTTTTTGGTTTTGCTTATCAGTAATATAATTCTTTCTTGATGGGGAAAGTACTTCTGTGTATGTTTATCTTATTGATTGTTGGGTAAAATACTGTTTGGCCAATGGCAGCAAATTAGACAGGACTAGAAGTCAAAGAGGATTCTGGGAAATGTAGTAGAGAAGTGGTGATCCAGGCCAGAAGTGACATAGCAAGGAGACTCATATTTAAACAAAGGAAACAGGAAGTGTCCCCTTCTTCCCCTTCACCTCCTCCAGCAGCAGGATGTGAGCCACCTGCAAGAGAGGGTGCCAGCAAAAGGCATCCTCTATAAAGGCATAGCAAGGAGACTCATATTTAAACAAAGGAAACAGGAAGTGTCCCCTTCTTCCCCTTCACCTCCTCCAGCAGCAGGATGTGAGCCACCTGCAAGAGAGGGTGCCAGCAAAAGGCATCCTCTATAAAGGTAAGTCTTATAAAATATATAGATTTATGATAATTAAGTCTGAGCTAACAGATGAGAATCCTAATCATTGGCCAAGTAGTATTGTACCTAATACAAGTCTCTCTGTGCATTATTTGGGGCCCTAACTCGAGCGGGCGGCTGGTGTAAAGCGCACACGTGGCGGTGGGGCTTGGCGGCTTTTGTCAGAAAGATTTATCGTAACACTTTTTCTCCATTTTTTATTTAAATCAGAAACAAGATTGTTTTACATGTCAATCCCAGTTCCCTCTCCCTCCCCTCCTACCCTGCCCCCCACTAAAACTCTACCTATCCCAGACTATTTCTGCTCCCCAGGGAGGGTGAGGCATTTCATGGGGGGCCTTCAGAGTCTGTCATATCCTTTGCGATAGAGTCTAGCCCTCCCACTCCGTGTGTCTAGGCTGAGGGAGTATCCCTCTATGTGAAATGGGCTCCCAAAGCCCATTCCTATGCTATGGATAAGTACTGACCTACTACAAGAGGCCCCATAGATTTCCCAGGTTTAAGGGTTGTCACTGAGGACACTGGACAAAGGAAATTCCTGGACAAGCTGAGAGTGCCAGAAAACTTTGGATAGAAATTGAGCATGTATAGATGAATTAAAGACAGTTGAGTGGCTCCTGGTCCTTAGACATGAACTGGATACCTGCCTCTACAGCACTTGAGAAGACATGAAGAGTGAAAATCTTCCAAAATGTCTACCACCAAAATTTAAAAAAAAAAAAAAACAAACACTATCTAGATCTAATCTGGCTGCCTGAAAAAATGACAAAACATGAACCAGACACACAAACTGCACAAAGATATCTCAAATATTATTTTATTGAAATAAAATTAGAGAAACTTAGAGACATTATGGAAAATTATAAATAGGATTGAGAGATTTCCTCAAAATGCTAGACAAAGGAAGGGCACAAAGAAGCCTCAATTGTCCCTAATGCTTATTTCTTTCAGAAAAATCCACCCTGTAGCTCAATCAGTTTTTGAGCCTAATTATGATTCATCTTTTTGCTTCTCTTATAACTTCTACATAGACAATCATGACATTCTATAACTTCCACATAGATAATCATACTATTAATTATAGGTGACTTCTTTCTATTATACACCTTACAACCCCCCATCATAATGAATCGGGTACCTGCAGTATATTGTTAAAAGGAACATCACAGGGACATGCCTAGGTCATGGTTGCCTTCCTTCAAAACTGTATGATCACTTTACCATGAGCTTTGATGGGTGATGGGTGATTAGGTCTCAACAGTGAACTACATTAGCTGAATAGGGTTTACACCTCTGCTAGGATTCAGAGTCTCTTCCTGGTGGTTAGCCATGACTGCTGTTTTTTCCTACATCAAGTGAAATGATTCTATTTTTCTCTTTTCTCTGTTGGTAACTTTAACAATTTTCCTAAGGAAAATACAGAAAATACATGCTTATGTAAGCATAATATATCTTCTTTTACTGAATGCTTTGGTTTGCCAGTCCTATAGTAAAGATTTTCCTTCTTCATTGCTGAGACTAGTTGGTAATTTTTCTTTGTTACCCTGCCTCTGTGGGTTTGGATCTGAAGGTTATAACAGCATCAAAGCATCTCAGAAGGTGGTGAGGTTTTCCCTGTTCCATGGGTAACCATGTAGATTTGGAATGCTCTGTTCTTTGGGTGATCTATAAAAATGGTACTATAAGCATCCCAGGGCTTGTGGTGTTCTCCTTGCAGGAAACACTGAGTGTGGCCCCACATCTCTCTCTCTCTCTACAGTTGCGCATCTCTACAGGTGCACATCTCCACAGCTGCACATCTCCACAGCTGCACATCTCCACAGCTGCACATCACCACAGCTGCACATCACCACAGCTGCATCTCTACAGCTGCACATCTCCACAGCTGCACATCTCTACAGCTGCACATCTCTACAGCTGCACATCTCTACAGCTGCACATCTCTACAGCTGCACATCTCTACAGCTGCACATCTCTACAGCTGCACATCTCTACAGCTGCACATCTCTACAGCTGCACATCTCTACAGCTGCACATCTCTACAGCTGCACATTTCTATAGATGCACATCTCCACAGCTGCACATCTCCACAGCTGCACATCTCCACAGCTGCACATCTCTATAGCTGCACATCTCTACAGCTGCGCATCTCTCTCTACAGCTGCACATCTCTCTCTGCAGCTGCACATTTCTATAGATGCACATTTCTACAGCTGCACGTCTCTACAGCTGCACATTTCTATAGATGCACATCTCCACAGATGCACATCTCTACAGCTGCACATCTCCACAGCTGCACATCTCCACAGCTGCACATTTCTATAGATGCACATCTCTACAGCTGCACATCCGCTTTCACTTTCTACTCTTCAAATATGATTTCACATGTCCCACCCACATTTTTCCTATATAATTTCTGACTTCCTTCAGTAGAAGGGGTTCCCTACATTTCCTTATAGCCATAGCTTTACATTTCCCCAAATTAGCACAGATCCAATTTTCCCAAGAATTCATTTGAACTCTTAAAATCGCTGCTTTAGACTAGAGGGATAATTGGGCCATGTGCCTGCAATTGAGGGCCTTTCTACTTGCTAGGCAGGGCCAGGCCAGTGAACTCTGAAAAGAATGGGATGGTGACTTACAGCATTTGCTGCTTGTGGCCTGCATTGCCACCCACTGGCCTCTGCCCTGGCAGCATTGTAACTGTCCCTGACAGGACACGGACAAGTATGCACAGCTGTTTCCCAATAAAACTTTACAAACTAGATGAGTGCATTTGGCACCTGGCTGGATCCCCTCACTGAAGGATTCTGAATTACCTGTACTGTGCCTCTTACTCGGGGAGCCTGCAGCCACATGAAGCTACTGAAATCCAGATTACTTACAATTGATAGTTCTTCCTGAAACCTAGTCAGTTTCCAGTAATTATTTACCGCACCTGGTTAGCAATGATTTTGATGGTCAGCAGAGATATGGCCGTGAAAGCCCAGCACTCAGGAGGCCGAGGCAATGAAGATCATGGGTGCCAAGCCAACCTTAGTTAAGTAGCAAGTCCCTAGCCAGCCCTCTGTTTTTAAAGATTTATATATGTTTATTTGGTGTGTATGAGCCTGCCTGAATGGATGTCTGTACATCACACACATGCAGCACCCCTGGAGGCCATGAAAGTGTGTTGGACCCATCCCTTGGGGCCTAGAGTTACACACAGTTGTGAGCCTCATTGTGGGTTTTAGGAATTGAACCTGGGTCCTCTGGAAGAGAAGCTAGTGCTCTTAACCATTGAGACCCCTCTCCAGACCCCTCCTATCCTGTCTTGACTACATAGTGAGATTCTCTCAAGGAAAGGCAAGGAGAGGAGAGGAGAGAGGAGAAGCAGAGAGGCAGGAAGCATTTTCATGTTTCAAAACACTAGCTCTATTGAAGATATGTGGCTCTTCCAATCATTTCATTTCATGCTGTTCTTAAATTTAAGTTCCTGGTGTGAGGTATGAACAATGTATGCTAAGACCAAGTGAATAAGTTTGGTTGGAGATTAGAATTCTCCAAGAAGTGGTCAAATAATGTAAAGAAATCAAATTCCTAGATATACTGGTAGAATAGTGATTCCTATCACCTGCAGACAAGATAAGAATGGGACAATGTCGTGTGTGTGTGTGTGTGTGTGTGTGTGTGTGTGTGTGTGTGTGTGTGTAGATGTCTATAATGTATGGGAACCTATGTGTATAGATATGTGTGTCCATATACCCATGGAAGCCAGAGGAAGATGTCAGGTGTTCTGTTCTTATTCTCTGCTTTATTCTCTTGAGAAAGGCTCTCACACTGAATGTGAAGCTAGGCTGGTGGTTAGCAAGTCCCAGTAATCCTCCTGTGTCTGCTCCCCAGACCCAGCTGGGGTTGAAGGTACACGCGGAGCATGTGCAGCTTTTAACTTGAGAGGTGAAAATTCACTGCCCTCGGGTCCTCATGCTTGCACACCGAGCTCCCTTTCTCACCAAACCATCCTCTCAGTCTTGAAGTTGTTGTTTAATGGGCACAGAATTGTAGTCTAGAATGAAGAAAGGTGCTCTGGAAATGGATAGTGGTGATGGTTACACAGCAATGTGAATGTTCTTATTGTCATCAAGCTGTACAGTCAGTATCAAAATGGTTATGGTTTACTGCCCAGTGTGAACATGTGTGCATGTGTGCACACACACAGCATATTTCCAGTCATGAAAAGCAGAATAGACACACATGCACTAGGAAGTGCTGGGAACATCAGGACAGTGTGTCCAAGAAAGGTTCCCTTGGTGCTCTAGAGAACATAAGAAGTGGGTTTGAGAGATGTGGCACGACCTGGGATCCTGGGCTTCTTACATAGTTCAGGCACTGAAAACTCCACAAAGACCCATGTGCTAATGGCTTGGTTCCCCATGTGGTGTAACTGACAAGTGATGGAACCTCGAAGAGGCAGAACCTAATGAAACGTCTCTGAGTCATTGGAAGCATACCCTGATGGGGATTATGGGCCTCTGGCTTCATTCTTTGTCTCTTCTGACCTTCTGGCCCTAGGGTGAGTGATGGTACTCCACCACACAGTCCCACTAATGTGCTGCCTTGACACAGCCCAAAGAAATGGGAAATCCAATCATAAGGGCCAAACCACCATTGCTCCCAAACAGTGAGCTGAATGGACCTTTTCTCTTTACAAGGTGATTGTCTCAGGTATAGAGTGACTGAAGTTTACTCAGACAAGAACAAGCCTCGCAGAGAAGCACCCTGAATCACTCAGTGCAAGGCTGGCATCTTGCAAATGATGCACTGGACTCTACACTGAGCCTGGGCTCAGCTGCTGACCCACGAGACCCTGAAGGAGTACAGAGAACTGGTCTTCACAGAGTAGGCGTCTCCCAAGTTTTCACCAACAGAAACTCCACACTATCTCTTCTCTCTTTAAAGTGTAACCATCCCAGGCATTGCTCCCAGAACTGGCATTAAATACACCACCTGTAAAGGGCACCATGGGTACCAACATAACCTGCCAGAAACCTGGGCAAATGGAATCTCATATTCAACTAATATTCTCTTATTAAACAACTTTACAAAGCCCCTGGTAACCCTTGAGTCAACCCCCATTGCTGCCTTCTCAGGGGGGCTTTAAGCCAGGGCCGTTGTTAGGGTTTCTATTGTTGTAATGAAACATGACCAAAACAAGCATGGGAAGAAAGGATTTGGCTTACACTTCCACACCACTGCTCATTATCAAAGGAAGTCAGGACAGGAACTCCAGCAGGGCAGGAACCTGCAGGCAGGAGCTGATGCAGAGGACATGGAGGGGTGCTGCTTACTGGCTTGCTCCTCATGGCCTGCTTTCTTATAGAACCCAGGACCACCAGCCCAGGGAAGGCACCAGCCACAGTGGGCTGGCCCTCCCCATCAATCACTAGTTAAGAAAATGTCCTACAGGCTTGGCTAGAGCCCAGCCTTATGGAGGTATTTTCACACTTGAGTTTCCCTCTGCCCCAGTGACTCTAGTTTGTGTCACACTGTCATAAAACTAGCCAGCACAACTTGACACACAAAGATATCACTATTAAGTCACAACCTTTCCTTTCTTATTCATCTCCAAGGTCTCACATTAAAAAAAAAAATAAGTAACTTTAAAAGCCCCACATTCTTAACAAATTGAAACACATTAAAAGTTCAGTCCCTTTAAAAATATCCAGTCTCTTTAAAAATACATCACAAGGGTAACAGAACTGTGCCGTTTTTCTGGGATTTGGTTTTTATGTTTTTTTTTTTTTAATGGAGAGTGCTGGGTGTCTCTACAATTTTGTTCAAATGACTGCAGAACCTGGAAAAGCTGTTGCTGCTATTGATGCATAACATACTGCCATTATTGGTCTCTCTCTCTCTCTCTCTCTCTCTCTATATATA